TTCCAACTTAATATCAGAGCAATAGCAGCTACTGCAGCCACAGACATCCCTGGGTCTCCGTGGATGAGAGTAGTCTTGCCTCACAGCCACTCTCCTGCTCCACACAAGAGTGAAAACCGAACTCCTAATGGCCCTGCTCACTTACTCCTTCTCTTGGGTCAGTTTTATTCCTTTTTATTCCACTCTTCTTGGGACATTAATGAATGAAGGAAGTATGTCATTTCTTCTTTTTTTAAAAACCAGGCTTCAACATTCTTTCTCAAAATTGCATTCTAAAGTATTAAAACATCTTTTCTATACTGACTCCATTTCCCCAAACTTAGTTAAATGTTCTCTATTTATATGCTTTTATAATTACAGAAAGAATGTCTTCATTTCTCTATCTCAGCATGCATGTTCATCAACATGGAAGCAGCTTTCAAAACTTGATGCAACTACCAACTTACGCGTTACTAACATTTGTGACAATGGAAACACTACCTTAAGTCTTCAGTTACCGACTCTTCTACCCTGGGCTTCTTTCCAAAAATGGGTTCATCTGTGCCTTCAAAATCCACATTTCTCTTGGCTTTTCCAACACTGGTTGACTCGGATTGTAAATTCCCATCAGAACGTTTCCTGAGAAGTAAACGGTTTAAAATGAATTCTGCAGTATTGGTTAAGAGTGACTTGGTAAAAATCCATTAATTTATCAGGAAACCAAACACATAACTAGATACCTATGTTGGTCAACATCGCAAGTTCCTCGGGATACAACTGATTTCTCTTAAAACTGATAAAGAGAAAGAATCAAGCATTTATCCTACCTTTCCTCTATGAACTGTATTTCAAGGCAAACAGTTGAGGAGGGAATGTGGGAATCTTTTTTTAATAGATGGATTCCAGGTAATAAATGCAGAAAAAAAAATGACAAAAAGAAAAAACACCATTTTTAACTACTAGTGAAATAACGGAGTTAGGCAATCATCACAGATGCTGAAGTCATTACGAGAAAGGTCGATGGGAGGTCAGGCTGACACAACCCAGAAGCTTGAACATCATGCAATGCAATAGGAACCAAGCACACAGCACCACTAAGTATTCTTATTTAAAACAAATGAACCTGAGTGTAATTAAGTTCCTTGCCCTATTATAGTACACGCATAATCCAAGCTACACTTGTAATTCTAAATTTCTAGTAACTATATTAAAAGATTTTAAAAGAAACCAACTTTATTTCCTTTAGCCTAATATATATTCAAAGTATTGTCATCTCAATATATAATCCAGAGGAAAAAATATTGAGGTATTTTACATTTTCTTAGGTCTTCAAAATCCCCATGTGTTACACTCACAGCACGTTTCAAGTCTGACTTGCGACATTTCCAGTGCTCAAGAGCGACTGCTGGGCAGTGCCTATTGTATCAGCCAGCGTGATTCTGGGCAGGACAGTTCCCAGTGATTCTTCAGGACAGAGTCAGACGGCAGGACAGGGAAGCAAACGCAGCAGGTGGGAAACGACAGGACAAACCTGGTCTCTCCTCTGACCAGTCCTCCATAACATATTGATGGCGTATGGCAAGATGAGGAGACTGTTGTGGAGTAAGTCTTAAGGGGTCTAACAACCCAAATACTGCATGGACTTTGGATTCTGATTCAAATAAACCAACCAAAAAAAAAACCTTTGAGATAACTGAAAATTTTTCACTCTAGATTCAATGACATGAAGGAATTACTGAAAGGTTGTTGGGTGTAATAATGGTATTATGGTTATGTCAGAAAAGAAAATCATTATCAGTAAAGAGATGCATACTGAAATATTTAGGGAGAAATAACACGAGGAGGAGCATCTGATTTACAAAAGAAGGGGGTGAGAACAGGGTGACAATGACGTGATATTGCTGAAGCTGACCCAAGGGTCTGTGGAGTCTTTCATACTATTCCCTCTCTGGACAATTCTCATAAAGTTCTATTTCAAAACTACCCACAGCCCTAGCCGGTTTGGCTCAGTGGATAGAGTGTCCGCCTTCGGAGGGAAGGTCCCGGGTTTGATTCCCCGTCAGGGCACGTGCCCAGTTTGCGGGCTCGATCCCCCGTAGGGAATGTGCAGGAGGCAGCCGATCAATGATTCTCTTTCATTATTGATGTTTCTCTCTCTCTCTCTCCCTCTCTCAAATCAATGAAAATATATTTTTTTAAAGTAAAAAACAAACACTACCCACTTGGTTAAACACATAATTCCCTCTTAAGTTCCATGACTTGCCCTCCTGTGTTACACAAATCAGATGGAAATCATGCTACACGTGTTGGTTACATATAATACTTGGAATCGGGCAAGTTGGATTCTTTCCTAAAAACACCTACAAGACAAGACCTATCCAGAAGAGCTGGTAGTGAACAAAATCCCGTAAGTTACTAACGTTCTACATTTCCTTACACACTTCCCCTCGCTAATGTTCACATGTCCTGATAAGGCTAAAATGTAAATTGGGTTATTTTCATACCCTACAAGCTTTCACTTTGGAAGGCTGTGGAAACGGCTGCAGCCTGAAGCCAAGTATTTACCGGAGCGGGAAGTTATATGGCGCTGTCTGCATATATCACAGCGGCCCGTTCACACTACAGCAGCTATGAATTATTATTGTTGGGGGGGGGGGGGCCTGTCCTCCTTTCTCATGTTCCCTGCAAAGCCCCCCAACCCTCCCGCTCCCTCCGGCGGGAGAGAAGGCTGTTTCTACTGCGTCTGACTCCACGGATGGCTGCGCCGGCCTCCGCGGCACCAGGTCCTCAACCCGACGCGGATGAAAGCGGCCGATGACACCCCATCTACCTCCATGCTCCCTTTCCCTGGTCCTACAGGACACGAGCCCGCCGGCTATCGTGCCGCCAGCGTACACACCCGGCGGGACCAGCACTCTCCTTAGGATTCCCTTAGCAAACCCAACGACGGCCAACTTTGGAAGATCTGCGCTGTCAGGCGCTCTACGCCGATGGCCACGGAACCATCACAGTGACCAGCCCCGGGGGTGGGCCGGCACCTCCTCCTCTGAGCTGGGAAACGGCCCATTCCTCTCCCCTTTCCCGCAGCTGCCGTCCCTTCCCCCTGCCAGGCCACCCACGTTGGGTTTTCCACGCTTCGTGACCCTTTACTCCCGCCAGGCGCGGTTCCGGTGCTGCTCAGCCCGAGACCGGACCTCGCCCGCCCGCCCGCGCCCCCCGCGGCGCAGACACCGGGAGAGGCAGCCACGCGCGGCCCAGAGCCGCCGGAGCCCACGCACCTGCGCACACCGGGGACCCCGGGACCCCGCTCCGGACCGCATGCTCCTCCCTCTTCAACACCGTCCTCGAACCCTCCCAGCTCCCGAGGCCACTCAATGGACACCCCGCGTCCTCGAGCCGTTTAAGGGGCTCGCGTTTCCTCTCTCAGCGCGGAGAGAGGAAAAAGCACGCTGGCCCCCTCGCCTACCCGGCCTTCTCCGCCGGCCCCGGAGGCCCCTTCCATTTCCCCTTGTCCTTGTCCTTCCTGCTTCCAGGCGCAGCGGCGGAGTCTTCCTCGAACACGCTGAAGAGCTCATCCCCGAAGGCGTCCGCCATCTTCCGGAGATGCAGGCCGACCCGCTACTACCCACAATGCTCCGCGCTCACGCCGGCCGTGACGCTTGGAGGCCTCGACGGTGGCCCGCGGGAGACAAAAGTGGTCGAGTCGAGCAGCCGCCGCGAAACCTCTCTATCTTCTCTCTCCGACCTCCCCTTCCTTTCCTGCCCTTAGGAACTTTCCTTCCTTATCCCTCCTTCCCGACCTTTGGGATCTTCTCTCCCTTTCCGACCACTAGCGGGTGGGTAGCGCGGTGGCTGCAGCGAGCTTGTCACGCTGCGGGGACGAAGGGGCGGGGCTGGGCGAGGGGGCGGGGCCTC